ATAGCAGGGCAGGACACATAACTAATAGATACATCATGTAATCTGACACGTGCTTACTGGTTTTCTTGATTTCATCATCATGATCCTCTTGTAAGTAGCAAACACTTGTGGCGAGATGCCATACTACGATGCTGTGATCAAAGTCCAATTCAATGCTCCATTTTAGTGCATCAAAATTTTGCTCATCTTTTATTGCCTTTTCTCCTCTTGATTTCGCGAATGTTTCCCCCAAAAGGTTGATGTAATTGTTATTGTCTTTCAAATTATCTGGAACTTTCACAAATCTAGTCAACATGTATTTGCGCCGCGTTTCAACAATTTCACGGCAATGAGTGATCTTCAGGCATTGGTTCACCTTCCCTCTATTGTAATGCCAACAATATTCCAATAGATCAAATTGACCCATCTGATTTGACCACGTTTCGCTTCGACGCAATAAGCAAGGGAAGTACTTTAAGGCAACCTTAAATATTTTGCGTGCGAACACAATATCATGAAATTGCACAACAAGAATTGCCCAATCAGAACAAAGCATTACACATGCTGCATAAAGGTCCAGTGCAATAACTCCACTCAATAAGATGCCAGTTATGCGAATATCAATTCTTGAGAAATGGAATTTTGGCTCATTAATTATGCCGATAAAGAAGAGTAGTAGAACCGAAAAGGAGCTAGCGAAACTGGTGAAGCGCAATATGCATCCTAACTTGGTGTAAGTCAAAGCAGCTTTGGTGTAAACAACGTCAAACATAAATCCAATTTCAGCAGCAAGAACGTCAAAAACAAAATTCGGTTTGTCATCTGTTTCACCTTCGGCCAATTTTCGAGCTAAATCGATCGCATAAATGCCGTCCATACCTGTAGTTTCTCTGACATAAGCTTTTATCCTTTTTCTAAAATCGTGAACATTATAGGATGAGAGGTAATCAATGACATCTGGTCTCATACTTATAAACAATAGATAACCAGCCAACACATCTGGATTTAGTTTTAGAAGGTCATTAAGGGCTAAAGAGTTATTGGTTTGAGGACCTTGAGTATTAAAGATAGTAAAAATGACTGGTTTTGTTTTCCGTGAATTATTTTGCTTGAGACACAATATCTTCTCTACATATTTAATAATCCCAGCTAAGATCAGAGGGAAACTTAAAAATGAGATCCAGGAAAAGGTCCACGACAAGCAAATGACATAAATGACCAAAATGGCTTTGACAACAAGGATGAGGAGGTGCCTAAGCCAAAGCTTGTTGTCTTCAAAGGAATAAGCTGTGATGGTGTCAGGGCCACCAAGATGTAGCAAGAGTAAAGGAGCCCAGTATGCCCTTAAGACATTGGTGGCGGGAGATTCTGTATAGGAACCGGAAAGCTTGCCCAAAGTAGCAATGGCAATCCAGTCAGCACCTAAGTAGGCAAACCATAGAACGGTTTTGGAGAGTGGAGGAATTTTGTATTTCCTACGCCCACCTAGGACAGAGAGAGCTATTTGTAAGGTAAGACTAAAAAGAACCAATCCCCTCACATCCCATTTCTGCCACGCTTCCATCAGCAATTTTGGAAATGAACTCATAATTAAGCTTGATTTCCTGCTATTTATAAATAAAATAAATAAATAAATAAATTGCATTAAAAAAAATATAGGGACACCCTTTTCAAACATATATATACATACACGCAAAAATATTTTACAATATAGATTACACGTTAAAGTGTAGTTTAATATATGCATTTCTAGAGC